CTCCCTCTCCTCGCTGTCTCCCAAAAAAATTTAAATTTTAAAAAGAAAAAAAAAAAAATAACAGAGTTTCTCTCTCAAAAATTCACCACACTTCCAAATATAAATTTGCGCAGTCTCTCACGTAATCCCTCTTTTTCTCTCCACTGTTTTTCTCTCTCTACCTTCCACTAGTCCATCAATGGCGATCTGAAAGAGAGAGAGAAAGAGAGGGGGAGAGAGAGAGAGAGAGTGGAGGGAGAAAAATATTTTTATCTTTGTGTGTATCCATTGGCCTGGAATTTTGCAGCATTGTTTTGCCCTGGAACCTTGCTCTCATATGTACTGTTAAGAAAGAATTAGACATTGATAGTTCATCCTGGTACACGCATTGTAGGAAGAATGTCGTCGTTTGATTCATTGGACGCGTTTTTATTGGCTGCTAGCAGAGCTTGTTGTAGTCCCCTCGCAATTTTTATTCAGATCCAGGTACAATTCATTTCGGATTCTCTCTTCAAAGAGTGAGAAAGCTTATTTTATTTATTTATTTTGCCCTTTTTGAATTTTTTTTATGCTTTTGCTTTCTTAAGGAGCAAAAAGGAGCACCTTTGCTTTTAGTACGTTTCGGATCTGTCATCTGAGGATTATTAATTTAGCTTGGGAATTCTTAAATATTTTTGTGTTAGGGAGAATGCGACTGCATTTTTTTGGCTTTGAATGTTACTGATAATTCAAATTAAGTGGCAACAGTGCAATTTAACTTTCTTTTCCCCAGGTTTAGTTTGAAATTTTAATTCATTTTTCTCCAAATTCTTGTGTGATTTGAATTTCACGTTAAAGATTTTTGAGTTACAATGGCAGTTGGCTTGGATCTCAGGAGTTCTGATACATGAAACATTGCATTGTTTGTGAGGGAGATTATCCCTTAGATTTTTATTATGATAAATGAGCAATAAGAAATTTGGATAGGTAAGGATGGTCAAATGCTAGAAATTCAAAGTTTTCATCGAGTGTTACTTGGTTGGTCATTCTATAGTGGCTGCTTTGTTAATTTGAATCACTTTGTGACCCAACGAGCATTCATCCCCCTTTGCATTCCGTAGAATCACTTTGTCATTACGAATCTTAACTCGAATTGGCCAAAAACAGATGAAGAGAAGGAAAAGTTGAATACTTTAGGAAGAATTAGATAGAAAAATAACTTTGAGGGGTTGCTCAATTGGTCAGGCATTGGGTTTGCTCCCCAATGGTCATCAGTTCGAGTCCCTCAGAGCCACTGAGTTGAGTACCTGGCTGTAAACTTCACCTATAGAATTAGTCGATGTGCGCACAAGCTGGCCTGGACATCCACAGTTATCAAAAAAAAAAAAAAAAAATTAGATAGAAAAATATTTTTTTATATTACAAGTCCTTGTTCTGACAAAATTTTTGAAAGTCAATAGAGGGACTATGCCGAGAGTAAGACAAGGTTTCATAATTAGCCTTCTCATTTAATAATTTGCCAATAATTTGTGAAAACAAAAGGACAGTTGTTTTACAATTGAAGGAAAAATCAAGTTCTCCCAGAATCCACACGTATTCTATATTAAACTAGTACTATTTCAATCTAATCATACAGTATACTTTCATCTGTAATTCCACAAATATCTGTTTATAACCGTGTGATACATATATTGTTTTATCATAAGATAATGTGGCCATATACAGATGTTCGGTAAAATTATTAAATAGATGCATTACATATATGAAAAAACCATTCTATTAAACAATATTATTAATGATTCTCCTCTAATTGATATTATCTATTTAGAATTATTGACTTTGATGCGTGAAACAGTGTTGGTTCCGAGGAAATCTTATTAATTATTTGGGATATTGAATATTAATTATTATAGCACGATATCTTACTATCTCTTTTTTTTTTTCCTTCTTCTATGTTATTTCCAGAAGAGTGAACATTATTAGCATTCTTCGATTTATTCATGTCTACCCATAGTAATATCTTCATGTGTATACCTAAGTCCTTTATTGCTGCAGGGATTTTTTATTTGCTTAGCTCTTGCCCTTGGATGGGCTTTGGCTGCTTATGTCAGGTATTATAACTTAATGATCTAGAGTTTAACATCGTTGATTTTACCCTAATAGTTCAGTTTATGCTTTGGTGCTGGCAGAAAAGCTTAATTTTTGTTAACTTAGTAAAAATTTCTTGTACAGGCGTAGAGAGATAAGACAGATGAAGTATAGCATGAAACATGGCAATACCTTTGCTTTTCTGTATCATGATATAAATGCCCTTGAGCATTCTACTCAGGTCAATTTGCCAAGAGTTACAGTTGTCATGCCCTTAAAGGGATTTGGAGAACACAATCTGCATAACTGGAGAACTCAGGTGAATTACTCTTAGAGGTTTCGTTACTCATATAATAGTAGCTTAAGCTTTTTAGTTTGCAGGTAACTTTGTATTAGCAACGTGTATCTTACTAAATGAACCACTAGCATGCTCCAACAGTAGAAATGTACTTGACAAACCAATTTTATGTTGTCCTGCATTTGTTGCTAATTTTCATTTATTTTCTGTTAGACATATTATTGATCATGTAGAATTCTACTGATTACATGTATATTTTCTCTTGAAACCAGAACTTCTTCAAAATGCACAATTGAGAGTTACTCTTACAATACTTCTCTTCTTTTTATGTAGAGATTCCTCAACCTACTAGTCCTCATAACCAGATGAACAGATTGAGGTTAAAGAAGAAATTCTTATTATCATGTTCCGGTTTATGATTGCAGATTACATCTCTATATGGTGGTCCCCTGGAATTTCTTTTTGTGGTTGACACTATAGAAGATCCCGCTTACCATGCTGTATCTCAATTGTTAGCAGATTTTAAGGTCTGTTGTTTCCTTTTAGCTGTTTGTAAGAGTGATTTCTTTATTATTTTAACTTATCATATCTTTTTCTGAACATATCGCTTGTGTACCTCTCTTTAATTATAAGAAGATATGACTTAGACATTGTTTTTATCATTATTTTGTCCTGCAATCATTATTTGTCATTTTAAGTCTAATGAGAATTCAAGTGTGAGCCAATGAGACCAAGCTCAGGTATCGAAAGGCTGAGTTCTTAGCATTACTTTGCTCCAATGCCCACTAAAAGTGTGAAAGATTTGTTTAATTTTGTCTCTATTCTTTTTCCACTTTATATTAATCTTAATTCATTATCCAGTTGCATTTTTTTTTCTCCTGGATAATTGCCCTTATGAATTTATTGATCTCTGAAAATGGAGCAATGTATTGTAATTTTTAGTTCCAAAAGCAACTTGAGGCATAGTGGATTTTATATTTGTTGTCTTCGTTGATCATTCTAGAAAAAGTTTATATAAATGTACTAGAACTGACTAAACGTGGTGGATGTTAGAGTTCTCTGGGGCTTTTTTTTTTTTTTTGCAAGTTATTCTTCCATAATCTTGTTAATTTGCCAAACTACACCATCTTTGGCACGTTTTTCAATTGGACATACTGTATCTCTTAGGAAATTAATATGTTTCTACGTTTGGTGCCTCATAGACAAATTAATAAATTTTGATCGGATAAAAAAACTCATCATTTTTCTCTCTCCCCTTCATGGCGCGTGATGTGCTGAAATATTTGGTGGTGTGACTGAATACTGATCATATTGTTAAGGTGGTACATGTTAAAAAGACAAACTCTTTTATGAAGGTTATGAGCACATTCTAAAATATATGTCAGGCATAGATTATTGTCAGAAGTCAGAAGGCAATCTAACTGGTATTGGGGTGGAAGGATGGAATATATCAAACACTGATGATTGGAGCCAATTAGGTATTTTAAAGGGAAAAAATCTGACAAGGAAGTCCGTACTTTTCCTGTAAATGACTCAACGCTTTGAAAGCCAAAACGTACCAAAAATGTGATTTGGGGACTATCATATAGTTGCTTCCATGTAAAGGATATCAATGAATACATTGGAGAATAAGATATTTTACTTCGGATATGCTGCCTATGCTTGTGCTATTTGATATTTGGTGATGGCCTATTGCACCCTAGTAGTCAGAGATTTATATTGTGAAAAATTAAGTGATCTTTCTTGTTTAAGTTCGCACTATTTTTTAATTATTAGAGCCTTTTAATCCCAAGATAGACTTACATCTATTTATCATTTTCTTGTTTTTTATTCAAGTATAAGCGGTACATATGGTTATGGTGTTATATCGTGACCCTGCTTTAAGTTTCTACCTAAGTAGATATGCTAATTCCTTTCAATCTTTATGATTCTTCATTCTTACAAAATTCTGTCTCCATGTGTAAACTTGAATATTGTGCAGGATGACGTAGATGTAAGGATTGTTGTAGCTGGTATGTCAACAACCTGTAGTCAGAAGATTCATAATCAGTTGGTATATAGCTACTTTCATGGTTACTTTTCTGTTGGAAGTATGTAGTTATTAATTTCTCTGTTCACAAAGTGGACTTATGTGATAAATGGTTGCGAGTTGTTAACATTCCATTGTTTAAACACGGTTTCTTAATAGATAATCTTTGAAAAACTGAATGGAGCAGATAAGCATTCTATTGGATTTTGTGCTTTACGTACAGTATTGTATGTCTTGCAGGTTGGGGTACAGAACATGCATAAAGACACCAAGTATGTCCTATTTCTGGATGATGATGTTAGGCTGCATCCTGGGTCGATAGGAGCCCTCACAGCTGAAATGGAGAAAAATCCCGATGTATGCTGATATAAGAACCATTGTTGTAACATTTTTCTAAAGTCATTTTTGGCACTTCAATCTGAGTGATGAGTCTCATTCTTTTATTTATTTTTTTGTTTGCCATAATCTCTTACAATTTTTTTTTTTTTCTGGCAAAAATTTGCAGATATTTATTCAAACTGGATACCCTCTTGATTTACCATCTGGAAGTTTGGGAAGTTACTGCATATATGAATATCACATGGTACAAGTTTATCCTGCATTTGGTATCCTTTTGTTCAATCATCTATGCATTAGATGTTTGACAATCATTACTCCTGAGTGTTCACATGAGCAAGTACAAGTGTGTGGTGCATTGATTTTATGTGGTTGAAGAGGAAGACAGTGTTGTAAACATAGAGATTTTGCAGTAGGTTGACAAATAATAGATTTCATTGGGTTGTTTTTTTATTAGCTATGCACTACATCAGATCCTGGGTGTGGTGAAAAGTGTATGAGGGTTGGCTAGGGTGACCCCAATTCCCTCCTGACTCTCAATTAGAATCCGATTTAATGGTTTGGAAGTTAAGCAACTCGCCACTTAGGTGTCCAGTGTTGACTAGGTAAGAATGAGTTCCTGTACTCTGATGGACACGTTTGTAAAGAAGTTAGTTTAAAAAAAGAACTGAATATAGGGATGCTTCCACAGTTGAAATTTTCTTTATTACTTTATATGAACTCAAAAGAACCGTTGACAGAAAATAGTGTGTAATACTCTTGAAGTAAAGCTGATGATTTGGCATTGCAAAGTGTATTTTTAAATGACTTCAAGCTAGTGTAATCACATTGCATTTTCAAGTAATTAGCCACTAGTAGCATGTATTATATAAACCCAAACAAATCATTGTGACAAAACAGTGAAAATATTAGAACTACTAGGTATAATGTGGAGGAAAGTCAGTATAGCTTGCGAAAAGAGCTAAATGGTAGGATACAAGGTGAAAAAATTAGGGAACATCGTATATTATGTTGTTAAATGGAAGCTAAGGTAACAAATAAAAATCGGGCAAGAATAATCATTGACCCAATTTAAAAGATGCAGTTGTAGAAATTAAATAGATTGGTGAGATTTAGTCTTCTGGTAGAGAATTTTGTATTACTCCAGCCTTATTTAAGGGTTTACTTTGATCTCTTACCTTTTCACTCAGTCATGAATAAGCTTGTGAGACAGTTTAGTTGATAAGACTAGGAGGGCTATAAATTGTCTGCTAGAACTTTGGGGGAGCACTATGGAATTTATAGGTCTTAAGTTAACTAGAGCTAAGACAAAATATATGTAATGTTCAAGTCATAATAAGAGTAACGATGATAGTGGAGTCACTGAAGATTCATATCATCCAATAGAGAGACGATGTTAAGTATTCTGGCTTGATTAGTAATATGGAAGGGGACATGAAAACAACGTTAGACGTAAAATTAGTCTGATTTGGATGGAATAATGAAGTTCCATTTGTGTTTGACGCTATAAGAAGATAATAAACATAAAAAACAAGTTCTATATAACAGTTATTTGACCAAATATGCTTTCTGTCAAGTATTGTGCTGAGGACAATATGTCCTTAAGCTGATCGTTGTAGAAACGAGGCTGTGTGGCTAAACAAGTATGGACAAAATAAAAAATGATAACATATATGCTAACAAGTGGAAGTGACACTAAATTAAGGGAAGAAAACTTAGGCGGTTTGGACACGTTTTTGTAGACCTAAATAAGCTGCTCAAAATATTGATGTGACCCCAAGAGAAATTAGAACAGGGTGAGATAGACCATAATTAATATGTTTTAAAGTGGTTCGAAAGGATTTTATTATCACTCGTCACATCATTCCTTAGCATAAATCAAAAGATAAAGGTGAAATGTGCTTTGGTCATTTTTGTGACTTGTGATGACCAAAGAGTTTTGGAAGTGTTGTCTATTGCTGTTAATCAGATAATTGGTAAAAAAAAAAAAAGAGCTTTGGGCCATTGTTCAATATGTATTTTGGAACTGGACTTCTTGTCAAAAGTGGGATTCATTTCCATAGCGTGCATTAAGTAGTCATCTGCAATTTTATGCACAATTCACGATGCAACTTGGAACACTAATTGTTGATGAAATTAAACAAGAGAATATAAATATAATTTTCTTCATTAAAATTTAATGGAACTTATTGATTTGCAACTCGGTGGAACATGAACTCGGAAAAATATGTTAGTGAAGGGGGGAGAGAATATGAGAGGGTTCTTGCCTATTTATTTCCTTCCTCAATTACATTAGTCACACACTTCTATAAATTTGTACTTGGATTAATCTACTGTCAATCTTATTTTTCCTATTTCTCAATTATTATCAAGGAGCAAGTGGGTTTTGTTGCATTTACACTAGTATCTTAAGTGTTTTACAATCATCTCGAAATGTAATGGTAAATTGATATCGTTTAACATATACCTTCTTGGTTTCATTTGTTATGGTATGCATTGTATAATTCCTCACATAATAATTTTCTTCATGATACTAACCTAACAGTTCATATCTATTTACAGCCTTGCTCAATGGGGTTTGCAACAGGCGGAAAAACATTCTTTTTATGGGGAGGATGCATGATGGTAAATTCTGTGTGCATATTCAGAATCAGACCATTATTATAGGTTTCAGGAATCTTAATTTTGAATTTTCTCATTGCAGATGCATGCAGATGATTTTAGAAGTGACCGCCATGGTGTAGTTTCAGAGCTCCGAGATGGAGGCTACTCAGATGATATGACTCTTGCAGCTATTGCTGGTATTATGTTTGCGGTACTTCTTCCGCTTAAGTGAATATGCTCCAATTAATGGGTGTACTAAATTATTGCCTTTTTTTACATGAAAAAATGTCCCAGTTATAAATTTGGTTTTCTATTTTGTGTTATATAGGTAGCTGAATTATGTGCACTGGGTGCTAATACTTGTCTTCCTTTCAGGGGCTCATAAGAGGCTAATTACATCTCCACCTGTTGCTGTTTTTCCACATCCTCTTGCCACTGATCTTAACTTTGGAAGGTCTGTATTTATAACTAAAACTCTCGATCCAGAATCATCAGTTTTGTGCTTCTGATTGGTCCTTTCTTACGCTCTATTGGTGTAGATACTGGAATTATTTGAGGAAGCAAACATTTGTATTAGAGTCATATACGACACAAGTCAACTGGATTATGAACCGTGCATTATTTTCTGTACATTGCTACTTGTCTTGGGGATTTGTAATGCCATATATTATGGATGGGATACATGTAGCAGCAGCACTAAAGTTTTATTCTAAAGGGAACTCGCTTGGTGAAACAGATTTTCCAGTATATGGTGAGCACTTCACTTCTTGGTAAATTAGGTTATTTAGGGTGTGAAGAACTGAGCTAGGGACCGGAACATTAGCTGTATGGTTGCTAAATCCAAAGACCTTCAATTTGTTTACACTCATTCACGTTTTTGTCTCGTTTTTTATGTCTTGGAATTCGGAAGCATCTGGCTATCAATTAATGATTAAACAGGAAAAATTATTTGCGTGATTACTATGAATTGCTCATGTAGATATGTGTAAACATTTGAAATGACCTAATGTCATGGAATTCGAAGTGTGAGCATGTCAAGGACTGTTTACTAACTTTTTGACACGAATAATTATTTATGCTAGTATGGCATCAGAGGCCGAAGCATAAGTCTTATATTTTGAGTTGGACTTACTTTATCTTTGAACGGAGTACATCTGCCCTTTGATTTCTAATCATCTATCCCTAACTTCTCTTGTTTGGTCAGGATTCAAATTGGTTGGCTGCCATGTTGTATGTACAATCATTGAACTTCTTTCCATGTGGAACCTGACAAGAATAGAGGTGAAGTTATGCAATTTGTTGTCTCCTGAGGCTCCTCCGTTGTCACTTGCATCTTATAACTGGTGTCTTGTAAGTTCACCTCTACTTTTCTCCTGAAGTCAACCGTTTTATCTTATCCATAATTTTAGACCTACCAACCTTTAACATGGAAGATTAAACAGTAGAAGACATTGTATTTTATTCAGATAATAGTACTATCTTGCTAGCCCATAATCCTGTATTGTAAGATAGCACATGACGCGTTAATATTTCTCAATAATGTTTTCCATCTCACGTTAAAATTGTGTTGATGTCATAAACTTCTGAAAATGGGATTTAAAATACCTATAGAACACAAAAATGGGATACACGTCTCTTGCCTTGTCCAAGTTTTGGGCGTGCAACCTTCACTTAATGCATTTAGAAAATTGATACAGGAATTGAAGTCAGTAGAAGTACAACAACCAGGCTTGTCTTAGTAGTCGACACATGCTGAGATAATGATATAATTATTCGCTGTTACTGATATTGTTCTTTATTTTTATTTGAGCAGGTATTTATTGCAATGTTGGTTGATAATTTTTTGTACCCCATATCAGCAGTACGTTCACATTTTTCTCAGTCTATCAATTGGTCTGGCATCCGATATCATTTGAAGAATGGGAAAATAAACAAGGTATGTTTATTTTGAGGCCATTTAGTTAGTCTTAGAGTCAACACATTGGGTGAATCTATTCATTCGTGTGAAGCATCACTTATGTGCATGGAAGTATTCCTACCCTCTCTTACTCCGGGGCTCAATAAGTGGAGAAAACTAAATAAATACACTTCATATATACCAATCCAAGACCCTGTTTCTGCTTCTCTCATTCACTTATTTTTGTCATAACACTAAACATGTTGCAAAATTGTAATCACAGATCTTACTCTGGCTTCAAATGATCAATTTTTCCAAGTAATATATGAATATTCCTGTTTTCTAAAATGAAAAACTGTCGAAGCATTTGAACAAAGAACTCTTGAAACATTGATTATGATGAATGCTGGAGAAGGGCATAATCATAGTGAAAACTGCCATCTCGGAGAGACTTGCAGAAGATTTTGTGGAAATTTCAAATACTAAAATACAGAAAGACCCTTCAAATCAAAATTCGATCAAAAATTGCATTTAGAAAATAGAAAATTCAGCATATATAACATGCATATTTGTTGTTTATTCTGCAGATTGAGAGAAACAAAGAGAAGGGCCCTAAGTTCACAGATTTGGGAGGAAAGCATTTATATGGTAAAAAGGGAGCTCAAAGCAGTGCTTCTTTTCTTTCATCTTTTTCCAGAAATCTGGCTCATTGGAGGCAACCCAAGAAATATGATGTATAGACAAAATGGGGGGTTTTAGTTACTGCAGCTTGTGATTCTTGTCTTTCATGGTTTCTATTTATAGTGAAACGACGCCAGGAGGAAAATTTCCCGGAATTAAGCCATCATATTACCTGGTATATTCAAAGTGAAAGACCCATCATTGTTGAATTTAAGTGGTAGGATTTTGGCAATTTTTTCAATTATTGATTCTTGAGATTGGTTTGGTATATCCCTTTATGGGCATGAGTAATAGTAGTGATATCATTTTGTAACTTTATGACATTATTTGTACTCAACAATATTACAGTGCTGTTGAATAGCTTATCAAAAGATGTATTTTTGTTTGTGAGTTTATTGTAATTCTGTATATTTCGGACTCCAAATATTAGAATTCAATTTATTATAACTTAGTACTTATGTCCTTGGCAGAATTTTGAAGTTCTCTTCAGAATATTAAAACATTTTCTATTGTAGCTAAAGCTTTTCAGTAAGGTGATTTCGAGTCTTGGAGGTCAAGCATCATTTAGCCCCCGTTTGAGTCCCATTTTTTCTCATTCCATTACATTAATTTTTTTTCTCTCTTCATCTCAACCACACATTCTCAAATAAAATAATATTACACACAAATCTAAAACTTTTCCACCACACATTTTCCCATCAATCACTATTCTACAAATTTTCAACCCCAAAAAATGGAGGCCAAACAGGGGCTTATTTATCATCAGATTTTTGATAAAATTTTTAATATATAAATAAATGTGTCTAGTCTCCAACGAACTCAGCTTTTAGATGAGAGATTAAACAAAGTGAAATGAAAAATGTACTCTCTACTGGTTCTTCAAAGTATGCCGATAAATCCCCAAGAAGTACAAGCTTCTTAGAATTCATACAAGACAAGTAAAGGAAATCAATTTACTTTTTTATATCTCCAATGTAGAAGTCCTCGATCATGTCGAACACTCGGGTAGCATGCTGTGGCCTGTCACAACAGATGTACAGTCGGATGTTAGCTAGATTAAACCAGGCTAGGCAAGAGAACATTAACAATTGAAACTTTGTTAGGCAATGCCAAATTTGAATATGATTTTAAGAGTTATATATGCTAAGCAGTCACTAAACTTGTAGCGAAATTTCATGTTGGACTGTTAACTTCATTTTGTTTCTCGTTGCATTCAACTTAAACATAGCTAAAATTTAATTTATGAACAACCAATGAAGTTTAGTGACTAATATGAAATTTCGCTAAAAGTTTGGTCACCACCAGTATTTTTTAGCCCATGATTAGAAACATGAAACTGAAAGGTATATAGCCATAAAATGACTCTTATGGCCTTAAGGATTGGGAATTGTTTGATCGTCTTTCTTTCAAGAAGAGGCGGAACAGAACCAAGGAAATCAGATTCAATACCAAGACCTACCCATAGAAACCTTTAGTTGAATCATCACCAGCATGTGCTAGGATGGCATCACCACCAGGGTGTTCTTCGACGTAAGAGGTAACATCATAAACCTATGGTTGTTTTAAAGTAGGAAAAAAAAGATCATGTAGTTAGAATGTTGACAAAATGGCAATCACAAAGGTCAATTCTTATAATATACCATGCATTTGTTTTTTAAGTAAAAGTGTTGCTATAATGTGGAACGTAAAAAGACCTTGTCTTTAATGATGATCCAACAGTCAGTCCTCTTGTTATGGGATGAAACTTCAGCTTTGGTGTATGCTTTTGCTGCCTAATCAAAAAAAGACACACTAATCAGTTAAAGATGAACAAGTAGCATACAACAGTTCTTGTTCACTCTAGCTAATGGCAAAGAACACAAGACAACCCTCCTGCTCTGATTGGATATAAAAGATCCATGTAAAAGACTTTGTTTACACGCAGGCCTAACAGTTGTGAATCCTAACTTTGAAAGGCCAACTCCAAATGGTTTGCATTCTATAAACACCAATCAATTAGTGCATATATGGTACTACACATAACTAGATCATACTACAATATACAAAATTTAACTTCTTTTTCTTATTTAATACCGATTATAGAATCACAAAATATAGAAAAGGGAAAAACATTCTTCCATAGTTAATGTTGCCTTTAGGTGATAGAATCATAAAGCAAATATAAAGGGTCAAGTTTACGACCCCTCTCATCTATTCTTGCTAGTTCCATATATATTATGATTGGGATATCCTAACCCCCATCCTCCTTTAATGGAGTCTAAAAATACACTGAGGATGTGTTGATAATTTGCCTATAAAAAAATGTCACAAATAATTGTTTGGAATTTCCTCAGTCCCGTGAAATATACCACTTGAAATAATTTGTAAAGATGTTTAAGCCCTTTCGTATAATATTACATGATAACTCTTGCTATATTGCTTTTATAGATTATTTACATGGTACACATGGTTTTACTCTATCAAACAAAAATCTGAGGTAGCAAATGTCTCAGAACGAAAGAGAATTTCAAACTAAAACTAAAACTATATAATCTTTTGGTGGGGTGAATACCAAAGTCTAAGTAATGTTTTACTAAAGTGTGGGATTCAACATCTTAAATCACCTCATACACTTCCAAACATGATTCTGTCGAAAGAAAACATTGTCATATAATTTAAACTGGAGCTCACAGTCACTCTCTTACACCAAGCTTCTGTGCCTCTAAAATTTTGTAGACATTTGTCTTTCAAACGATAACGTATTTTATAAAGCTTATGATAACATCCCCACTTTGGTTTGACAGCACATATCATAAACTCTTACCAAAATAACCAAACCTGACAAAATTCAGAGTCTTTGGACACTTGTGGTATCTGTGACCATGGCCATACAACTCTCATAAACTTGAACCACGTTCTCGACCTTGTATATTTCTCGGTTATTACCTTGTTCGCGATGCATATCACATTATAATCCAGAGTTTCGAAAAATCTTTACCTCTCAACATGTAGTATTCAAAGAAAATGAGTTGCTATTTCTCAAGCTTACTATCCCATATGTCACCACTAATTTGTGTAAAAAAATGGCTCGATGTTTTCTCCTTGATTACAATCTCTACTAAATTCAAAATATACCTCACGAATCACCACTCACCTCAATAACTCTAATAATCTGTCGCCCATTTTGCCGAATCAAATCTTACTAAGAAATTCTTCCCCATGTGATATGTCTAATACGTCTATATGTAGCTCAAGCTATCCCTATATGTATATGCAGTGACTGTTTTAGATAATGTCTAACCCACCTTATCAAACACATAGTGAAAATTTGCAATACTCAACTTGGAAAAGTCTCATGCCGCCGCTGCAACATCTCATGAATATTTTAAGGTGATTATACCAATTTCTGGCTTATAAGTAACTAAAAATGAACCAAACAAAATTGCCTTGAATGTAAACCTGCCATATAGGCTTTCTTCTCAAACATTTATAAACAAATACTATAAAACATTTTCTTCAATCGCTGAAGAATTTGACATATTTCACGGAATGTGAAACAATTTTTTACAAGTAATCCTACATTTCTGGCTTATAATTCATGTAGACATATAAAAAAAACACTGATTTAAATCCAGTAATTATCTCTGAAAATCATTAGAATCTTTATAAACTAAAAAGCACCTTTGTAGTGACATTAGACTTCCCCTTTTCACCAAGATCTGCATTATAAACAATTCAGTTATTAAAATCAATTGCATTTCAACAAATTCACGGATTCAGAATCACGAATCAAAAGAGAAAACTCGGTAACAAAACTAACCAGTTTTGCGTAGGCGAGGGATTAAAATAAACAGACCCAATACACTCAGCAATAATGTGAATATAAGTGCATCCATATTTCACTCTTTAGCTTTATCTGCTCAGACATTCGAACAAAAATTAAATAAATCTTGGTTAAGAAAGTAAAATCTAGCAATCCAAATAGCATTATCAATACGCACACAGCAAGATGAAGCTGCATAAGTGAATCGGATCAGTTGGCGAGAGTGAAACCATTTCATCAAAATATAATCAAATGCATTCAGTGTGTGAGTGTGAGTTCGAATGCGTGAAAAGAGAGAAAGAGAGAAGAAATTGAAGTGGATTGACCTGAAGTAAATAAGGGTAAAAGATGTGCGTTTTTGCTGAATCTTGATTTTCCGGCGATACGTTTTGAATTGAACTTGAGATGTTTGGGCTGTACACGTGAAATAGAATAGAGATAAATTTAGGAGAAATTACACCTGGCCTACTTTTAAAATACCATTTTCATAAATCCTAATTCAAGTTTCATACTTCAAAAATCAGATTTTAAATATTAATTTAAAAACATTTTTTATTTTTATTTTTATTTTTATCTACAGTAAATTAATTTATACATACCCCAGCCCTAACCCTAAAATCTTTAACCATTTCTATATTCCTCCGGACTCTCTTCTCCACCACGCCGCCGGCGTCGTCTCACCTATTCCTCTCCATTGCCGTTCGTCCCGTCGCATTCTCTCATCCATCGCCATCGTGTCCTCCCTATCAAACTTCGAAGCGGCGCTCTTCTCTCCTCCCCTTCTCTCCTCTACTCCCTCTTCTTTTCTACCTTCTCTGTGAAGCCGCCGCTGTTTAATTAGCGATCTGGAGGAAATGTGCAGGCGTAGATGGAGTTTTCCATAGCAGATTTGGGCGGTTGGCAAGCAGATCTCCTGGTAAAAGATCTGAATCTCCAGTTTACTGCCTATACTGGTGCTAATTCAGCTGCAACTTCCAATAATGGCAGTTGTAGGCTGTGTGTGCGTTGGTGAGGTTGGGCGCTGTGAATTGAGAATTTGAAGTTGGTGGCGGACGGTGGTTTTTTGTGCCGATTCGCTCGTTTTCGGTTCAGTTGGGGTGTGTTCGGTGTGGTTTTCTGTGTGTTCTGTGTGCGGGTGTGTCTTGTTTCGTGGTGTTGAGCCGGGGTTTTTGGTGGTGTTGTTGGCGGTGCAGTGTAGGCGATGGTGTGGTGGTCACAAATAATTAGAGTAGGTGCAGATCTGTTCTGTGTGCGGTTGGCGGCAGTTGCGGTTGGTTGTGTCTGTTCTGTTGGTGTAGTTGGGGGTTTTTGAATTGTCGAAATCGCCCATTTTGTGGTGAGATCGTGGTTTTTGTCGTCGTTAGAGTGGNATTTTGTGATTTGTGACCCATTAAAAAATTGTGACTTTTAAATTATTAAGTTGTGACCGATGAACAAATTGTGACCTATGAAATTTTTGAATTGTGACTTAAAAAATTTCGAATTGTGACCTAAAAAATTTCGAATTGTGACCTTAATATATTCGTCGGAATCGGAAAAGTCGCTGGAACGGTCCCCGGAGAAGAGTGGTGATCGGAAAGGTCGTCAGAATATTCCCGGAGTTGTAGGGGTGGTGGAGGGGGATGGGTTAATTATTTTATAGTAGAATTAAATATTAATAATAAATTAATTTATTAATTATTATTTTATAATTAAAAATTTAAAAGAAACCTGAATTTTGAAATTTGAAACTTGTTTTGGTATTTTTGAAATGTGTAAAAGTAAAAGCATGATTTATGTATTCTTCCCATAAATTTATGTAAATGACAGATGAATGTGTGCACTGCTCTAATCAATACTTTAGGCCCATTTTTTTATTACCATTATTTTAAACTATTTAATTTTCGTACTTATTTTAAAGTATATATTTGCACAATAAAATATTTTATACATAAATTCAAAATGTTTCATATTTTTTAACCATACAATCCCCAAGAAATCGTTATTCAAAGCTCCATTTTCTCAAAATAATGACTATCAAACATGGTATTGTAATTTTTTATTGGATTCTTCTTATAGCATTTTAACAAGATTCTCTATTTATGAATAAAAAATTATTCATGTTTTATAATATTTTTAAATTTAATGAATAATTTTTTTTATACATCTCAATAATGTTCTCTATTTTAGGTCTTCGTATTTTATTAGACATAATTTTTATATATTAATAGTCAATCAATTTAAATATGATTTGATTAATTTAGAAAGTAGAGTATTGAAATATGTAGTTTATTTAAGAATAAATTGAATAGTCAAATTCACTATCTATTTTTAAAAGTTTGGAGAGTTTCTTGGGGTTTATTTTTAAGCATTGACTTTCTAAAATTGATATCATCTTGTATTTAGAATGTCTCTTAAAAGTACTCTTGAATATATTTTTCAGAAAGTTTTAGGGGTCGGTGATAAATGTGTTACACATTTATCTATGCTCTAAAATTTACTTAATATTTAATTATATGAACGAATTTCTAAGCATATTAGTGTATGTGTTGGTTGTTTATAGGATAAATCTAAAATTTGGAGATGTATGATGCAAAAGAAAGTTATTTGGAGTGGCCAAAAGATGCAAAATGAGGAATCCATCTACGGAGCATGTGAGGAAGTTAAAGCATAAAGTTCTCTACAAAAATATCCACAAGGCAAATTATATAAAGATGATTGAATTTGAAGTTAAAAAAAAAAAAAAAATCATAATTCAAATTTGTAGATCGAAAGTTATGCGAGTTTGAAGCCGTTGAACATTTACTATACCATAATGTATCGCAAGTGTACAGTGTCAAATTTTGTAATATAATTGTAAGGTTAGGATGTTGAACTCACAGGGATTGAATATAAAATTATTACTACTGTAATGGATTAGCTTTTACCTTATCTAGACAATCCAATTTATGTTATCAATATTTTACCTAAAATTATGTGATTTTTGTGACGAACTCAACTAATTGTATGCAAGTTTGAAGGATTTAATCTATATGAGAAAGCCTAGTGTTTTGATTTCACCTAATTTCTCAATTATGTAGTTATTTCTAATCAATTTTTCCAAGTTTATAAGCAAAAACCCTAATATAATTTTATTCTCTCTCTTGAGTGCCGAGTTAAAGTTATACATATAATTCAATTCTAATATCTCTATTCTCTCTCTCGAATGCTGAAACTTAAACAATCCAATCATTCAATTAGTGGCAAATCAATTGAAATCGTGGAGAATAAACAACACAAATAAACAAAATGGAAAAAAACTCTATAAAATAACTAATTATATTCATAATAAAAAACATGTAGAGAAGAAGAAAGATAAAACTATTTTGGTGGTTGAATCAATCTGCCTTTTGATGTTCTTGTTTTCTTGGTTCTTGCCCTGTTGAATTCTCTCATTAGGATTGTGTTTTTATCATCATGAAGTCTTCGAAAGAATTGAATTCAGATTGGGTCTTAAAAGAAACCCCAAAGAATTAAAAATCCTCCCGTTGCTATGCGGCGCCCCGACGCTATGAATCTTTTTCTGCTCCTGGGACGCTGCTGCGCCACGACATGACGCCAACGCACCCATGTTCTAGGTTTTCCTCCCATAATATAGTGCTGCTGCTGCACTTGAATTTGTCGAGACTAGGCACCGGGGCGCCCAATTTGTGGCGCTGTGATGCCACTTCTCCTCATGTTTTCTTCATCGAGAGCTGGCGTCGAGGAGCCTAGTGATGGCGTCGATTGCATCATTTGATTTTTGCCTCTTCTTTCTTCTTCAACTTATCTAATTTCTCCCCTCTTTTACACTATTTCCAACATCACTCTTTTCTTCGACTTTTGAACATTTGCACCACTTCACCTAACTTATAAAATAACATCGAGATACAAATCAAATCGTTTTAAAAACTCTTAAGGTTTAATAAAACTGTCAATTTAAGTAGCATAAATATGAAGAGTTAAACACACTCGTCAAACACTTCAAACTTAATACTTGCTAATCATCGAGTAAACACAAAACAAAAAGAAAAGAACTAATTAACACAAACAAAATTAACAAAAAAACTCACCTAAAATAAATTTAGTTAGATAGTTTTTCTTTATGGCTCGGGGATTGAAAACATGATATCAAATTCATGAATTATTTTAAAGTTATAATCCATTCTTACATATCCAATGCAAAACCTCTGTTAAGTGTGACGCTGTACATTCATAAGTTGGTTCAATTCTCGACCTTAAAAGTCAAATATATCATTTCTTTGCTCACGGGATTCACACACCCAAAACATATTTTCTTTTTATTCTCTTCTCGATGTGTATTCTAAAGTTTATTTCCAATTACTAATTTCTTACACCACTCAAATTTGAGTTAGTATAACCAACAATGTCAACAATTTAAGCATGTGTTGATTCTCCCAAATTATGAGTACTTGGCAATCAAGCTTATATTAAGTGATTCAAACTAACTAGTTATCTAAACCCCCATAATTATTTCACAATTGCGTAATTACTTGCTTATTTTGATATTTTCTTTTCAACTCAAGATTAACCTCACCCTTTTTTTCTTCTTGACCCTTGTAACGAACTTTTAGTCGGTATCAAAGGATACCAGATTTCAAGATACCCCTAAGGACTTACTAACTCGAGTCAAAAGGTCAAGCGTGAGATATAGAATCAACAAATGCAATGTTCTTTTTCTTTACAAAAAAGCAAAAATAGAAGGTTAGATCCCTAGTATAGAATCGTCACCTAGTTCATACTTGAAAGTTAAAGACATTACAAGCCAAATATTTTTTTTCAACATGCATGGAGTCACCACAAGCCTAAATCATATCTTTCACCGACTCGAACACCCCAAATTATGCTATACAGAGTTACAGATGTAGTGAAATAAAGGTTATGGTATTGAGTATCTAAGTTCTCTATTTTCAACCCATAACAACATATTCAAGTACAACGCTACAATCAATTCACGTGCATAAGTGTATTTCACATGAATAAGCAAAAATTTAACCCAAAACACACAACTTGTTCACAATTCATAAACATGTTCTCAATTATATACATAAAAGC